CTTAGAAAGAAAGTTTACTTAATTAGTTGTATCTTCGTCATTAAAAAAGTGCTACCAACTTCTTTCTTTGGTTCAATAATAAATATAATTTATATAACATATAAATTTGGTTTAAATTAAGTTAAATAACTTTTTAAAGGCTTTAATATGTTTTTGGTCTCTCAAATTTGGAGTAAGTTTGTTTTTGACACTTTATATTTAAAATTAATCTTTTTAATCCTTTAAGTTTTCTTAGAAAAAATGTTTTAGTCCCTCAGTACAACTTGTAACTCACTAATAATAATATATTGTGTTAATTATGCAATATTAAATGAATTTGATATAATGGTTTCATTAGTAAGGATATCGTTATATTGAAATTTTTGTGAAATATTCAGTAATAGACAAGTTCTATATATAGTAGATTTACTAACAACATTTAAGTTAAGAGATTAAAATAATCTTCTTCTTCTTTTAAATTACATGGACAAAAGAATTAATTTTAAATTTTAAGGAATAAAAACATTACCCCACACTTAACAAACTACAAATATATTTAATCCATTTTTTAAAAAAATTAAGTGATCTAATATTGTTGGCTATGCATTTATGGTACTAGGCATGATGAGCAGTTCTCCGCATTGGTGTGGAAATAGACATACTAGGTGTAGGGATGACAAAGAGATATTTGACTCCTCTATGCTAGGCGAAGGTGTCTCACCTTATGTTGTTTGACATTGTTTTTAAGGGAGATGAGACAGGGCATGCCCAGGATCACGTCGGGCGTAATTATACTAAGGGAGTTTCTAACTTCTCAATGTTGAGCATGGAAGTAACCACATTGGGCGCAATTGAGAAAGATATGTCCTTGATCTCTACACATTATGCGCAGGTGTAACCACATCAAACATGAATGTGACATAGAGGCCCTTTACCTCTCTACATTGGGTGCAAGTACTTACTCATTGGATGTCATATCACTATTAAAACTAAATTGAGTTTAGAAGATAACAAATAGTAGATGAGCATGTGAGGACTTATATTTTAGAATTTAAAAATGAGATAAGAAAATAAAATATATTAGGATTAGTTGAGGAAAGTAAAGAAAAAATGAGAGTGTGGACAAATAAATAATTATGGAAGAAAGAGAGGAACCATATAACCATATGTGAGTAAAGATAGAAAAGACATGAGTATAATGGAAGAAAAAAATGATGAGTAAGTGTGATCTTAATGAGTAATGATAATGATGAATGACAATAATCAATGATGATGTTTGGTGATGACGATGATAAATGAGTAAGTATAGGTAGAAGTGCTTGGCAGTGATGAAATCCAAAACAGGGCTTGGTATATTGTGGAGAAATCCAAATAGAAAGGTTTGACAAGTTGTAGTTGTGGATCTAATTGTATTAATAATTGTTGTTGTTATTGTTGTATTGTGTTAATTGTGTGGAGTCCATAAATATAATGCATATTTTCTTTGGTGAGGTGGTGCAAATATATGTATTATGGTTTTTGTGGTCATTTACTTAGACCTTGGAGGTGTTATGGTAGGGAATCCCTAATAAGTATTAGAGGCAACCACGACTAACTGTAATGCTTTGCTTAGATCTTGGTAGATATCTTTTAGCCAATAGTGGCTTAAAAGGGGCACCCAATGTGTAGTGATGATTTGATCCATGGCTCTTAGGTTGTCTTCTATTAAACTGGCTTTTGAAGATGTTGGAGACTGGTATCATATGCATGTGGAATTAGGATAAAAGCAAGCTCCCAAAGAAGGAAAATTTTGGCTTTCCAGCATCATCAGATGTTGGAGATTTGCAAGTTGAATGTTTTCAATTAAGTTTTTCTTCTTCTATAGCTTCATATTGCCAGCTCAGTTGAGTTAAAACTTGTTGTGACAATGTGACTAGGTTATAAAAAATTGTGACCTTGAGGAGTTGATAGAGTTGGGTTCTAAGACCTTTGGGACTGTATATCATGGAAAATGGAGGGGTACTGATGTTGCAATAAAGTGGATTAATGATAAGTGTTTTGCTGGAAAGCTTTAGGAGCAACAACGCCTAGTCTGTGTCTCATCATTTATGTTTCTAATTTTTATTTCTCACTTCTTTCTTTGTCATCCAACAAACTAGTTGACATTGTTCATGGTTTATACATCAAGCAAAGAGCAGATTTTTGGAATGAGGCAATAAAGCTTACTGATTTGCATCATCCAAATGTCGTAGCTTTCTATGGTGTTTTGCTTGATGGCCTCGAAGGTCCTATGGCAACAGTAACAAAGTATATGGTAAATGGTTCTCTAAGAAATGCATTGCAGAAGAATGGTAGGTAGTGTTCTTGTATTATATGTGCATGTGCAGTGCATGCCCAAACACCTTTCTGATGATTGATTTTCATTACTCCAATTTATAATATAAAGATGTTTCATTTATGGTAAATGTTTAATACTATGTGATAATATCAGGAATCTTGACAAGCACAAGCTTTTTTTGATTGTGATGGATGTAGCCTCTGGTATGGAGTACTTGCATGGAAACAACATAGTACACTTTAACTTAAAAAGTGACAACTTGCTTGTGAATCTCTTAGATCCACACCACCCAATATGCAAGGTTGGAATTTTTTTTATTTTGATGTCATGTTAAAAATCTTGTTCTTTTATATCCTTTCACATCAGACATGCATTACACCATTTTGTAAATGAGGAGGTGAATAATTTGTGGATCAATTTCCATAAATTCAAGTTTACCTTATGACATATAAGGTTGGTTAAACTTATCTAGAAGCAAAGAAAAAAATAAATAAACTTTTTTTTATGCACAAATTATTTTGTAGAAACTTTACGTAAAATCTTATCTTTAACTTGTGTAAGCTAATTTTAGTTTATGTAGAAGTTTATTTTAATTTTTTTTATATATTTTTCTCTCGTGAAAGTGTTTCTAGAGAATTTTATTCAAAGAAGTCATAATTAGCTCTACCTCTACAACATTAAATGTCATTTTTTTCCTAAATTTTTCAAAACTGATTTTAGGATCTAGGTACCTTGCTTTCTTGGTCCACACAATACTATGTTTGGCATTAAGCACTTGAATATATCAAATATTTAAGTTTTAAAAAGTAGTAATTTTAAGATTGTATAAAAAAAATGATTTATATTTTTAGAGATTTTATGTGAAAGAAAAGTCATTGCTTGCTTTGATACAATTATAAAAACACTATTTAATTTGAAAGTTAGTATTGAGAAAAACTTAAGTTACACATCGACTTGATATAAAATTATTAAAAAGAATATAAGTAGCAAACAACTCTCACCTTACAAGTTAATTTTGTAGGGTTGAGTTAGACCCATAATCCACGTTCTAAGATTGTATCAAGGTTATTTAAATCCACTTTAAATGAGCCACCCATCATTGATAAACACATCAAGTCCAATAGTATTGGATGTGAAGGAATGTATTAGAAAAAATTCAAGTTTCACGTATTTTAGATTATTGTGTATAAAAAAAACTCAAATCTCACCTATTTTAGATTATTAAAAAGGGTCATCCACCATTTATAACTCAAGTCTCGCCTATTTTAGATTATTAAAAAGGTCATCCACTATTTATCCACGTACCAAGCCCAATAGGATTAGATGTGAAAGGGTGTATTAGAAAAAACTCAAGTTTCATCTACTTTAGATTATTGTGTATCAGAAAAAACTCAAGTTTCGCCTATTTTAAATTATTAGAAAAAAGGTAATACACTATTTATCCAGGTATCAAATCCAATAGTATTGAAAAGTTAAGTCTCACCTATTTTAGATTATTAAAAAGGGTTATCCACCATTTATTCCGGTACCAAGCCCAATAATATTGAATGTAAGGGGATGTATTGAAAAAAACATGTCTCACATCGATTAAAGATAAGATATTTAAAAAATATATAAGTGACAGTCAACCATCATCTTAAAAGTCGATTTTATAGAATTAAATTAGATCCATAACTCACATTTTAAGCGTTAGTTATAATTTTAATTCTTTTTCGAAATCTTTTTGAAAGTAACTACTCAAAGTAATAATTAATTTTTTTTTTTTGAAACTTAAACCCATAAAAATTATTGAAGTGATTTCTTTAAAAAAAATAATAGTTGAAACAAATGAGCTCATACATTGTTTTGTATACCAGTTGAAGTGCCAGACTTTAATATTCGGTGGTGTTAGAGGAACTCTACCTTGGATGGCCCCAGAACTTCTGAAACATTGATTTATTTTTTGATCCTTCAGTCATACTCCTATTTTGTCATTGTTCTCATATTTATCGTTTCAGGTTGACGAGTTTTGTATTAGTATTGTCATGTGGGAACTCCTCACGGGAACGAAGAGCCATAACCCATATGCTGATTTGCACTATGGGGCCATCATAGGTAATTCAATTGTTGAAAGTTAGCCTTTTATTGACTAGCATTTGATTATTGAGATGTTGGTTTTTTCAAACAAAATTCAGGTGGAATAACAACACCTTACGACCTCCAGTTCCAGAATCCTGTGATCCAGAATGGAGATTGCTGATGGAGAGGTGCTGATCATCAGAACCATCAGAAAGACCTTCCTTCACTGAGATTGCCAATGGATTACGCAAGTATTAACCTAGGACTCTTTTTCTTTTAACAAATACCACTAATTTTGTGTTTGTTTCATTGGTAGGACGCAGTCAAGGAGAAATATATGAGAGGAAGTTTCCGAATAAAAATACTTTTGTTTTTTCCTAAAATGGAAACCAAACACACTCTAACGGGTTTGACATGTTGCTACCCCAACAACTAAATTATTTTGCTACTAATACTCTCTCATGTACGTGGGAGCCACCAACAGCTCATGAGCATGACACAGCGTACCGTTGGGGTTGGCTTAACCTTCCCGTTAGGATGTGGGGCACATGACATTGAATTCATTTATTATAACTTTTCACTTTTCATTTTTCTTTTTCTTTCTCTATTATTTAACTCTATTATATCTTGAGTGACGAACATGCCAATTGCCAACATCTGGTACAACCGTCCCCGGCATTTCCTAGCTCCAGAATGGACGCTTCCACTTCAAACAATTATATTCCCTTTTTTTATTAATATTTGTTTAGTTGGAGATGTTCATGACAGCTGTAGCTTTATTTTGATCTTTGACATTTCCTCCTTTACATAATTGAAGTTCCCTCAGCTCCAACCCTCACAAACTGTCCATTCTCTGAAAATATGTCTGCTTCTGAGGGAAGGCCGTTGGTGGAAGCAGTGGAACACAAGGAAGATATTTATGAGCACCAAGAGCCTAGTGGATGTGGGTATGGATGCTTTCGTGGTTTTGGGTTGAATTGGTTTAGAGGCCATGAGGAATCTATAGGCCTGGCGGAGCAACGGGGTGATTCGTGGGTGAGTTGCAAGTTGAGGAAGGTGAAGGAGTTTTCAGAAGTGATTGCTGGTCCCAAGTGGAAAACATTCATTAGAAAGATAAGTGGGTATGGCAGGAAGCAGCAGAAGAACAGGTTTCAGTATGATGAACACAGCTATGCTCTCAACTTCAATAGTGGGGCTCAGAGTGAAGATGATGACATGCCTCCTAGTTTCTCAGCTAGATATATTGCTCCTTTTCCCTCTACTCGTCGCCAAACTGAACAATGATATGTGCGTGCTTGTTTCTTTAGAAGATTTTATTGCTCAAATGTGTTGTTCACTTGATGGTATTTTTAATCTGTAGAATCATTAATTATTCATTCTGTAAAGATCATTCTTTTTCTTCAAACTGTGGTGCCCAAGTATTTTTATCTTGCTCAATTTTTTTCAACGTTAAAAGAAAAGGGATATGATCAATTCAATTGCAGGCCGAATGTTGACTAAATCAATTCTCTTTTCAAAACAAAATGAATGTTGACGAAATCAATTCTGTTTTCAAATGAAAATGTATGATGGGGGGAGGAGAAAGGAATGAAACGATCACAAGAAAAATTTGTGAATAGATGTAGTATTTCAAGGAGGAAACGTGTTCCAATAATAGACGTTGAAACAAATAATTCTTGGATTTCTTTTCCTTTGCACTTTTCCAGTGGCCGAAGAATCTTTCCTTATTCGCCTTTGATGTACAAAGGCAAGTGGAAATGTGTCCCACGTCAACTTACAAATCTTCAATTACCCTTTTACTCGCCCAAACGGCCAAACAAAACCAACCAAAAACATAATAAATAGAGAGAAATATCTTCTCTGCCCTTATAAAAAAGGAAAAAACTTAACATTTCAGTTGTTACATTTTATGGTACGAATCGACAAGTATTTTGGGCCACAATGAACCAACAACATGGCTATCATAGATGCATTGCTCTTTTTACGACAAATAACCTATTTCAAGAATCAACACAACAGCAAGGTAGCTTCCTTCTGCTGTTTGTGACATGTGTGCCAAAACTGCAGACCAAGCAGTGACTGGGGGAAAATGCTCCATATCTATCATCTTTCTTAAAATGGTTGATGCTGGAACTGGTAATCTTGCTTTTGCGAGGCCAAAGCTAAGGTAGATAAGCATTTCCTTTTCTAACAAGTCTTGTTTACCTTCCTCAATAGCACTTTCTACCAATTCATAAGCTTTTCCTCGCCTCTGTCCACATAACTTATGAGCTTGCTAATGACAGATTTTCTGGGAAATTCCTCCATGATGGATATCAGATCCTGTTTTGAGCTTTCTTATTGCAAGCATCTTCAACTATCAGCAATAGATGAATTTCAGTATGAAGTCAATAAAAACCTGCACAATCACAGGGTCCATTGGTGAACAACATGCATAACAAATGTTACACTTATGACAGTACAAATAAGCCAGTTATAATGCCCAAAAGGGGAATGAACATTGTTAAAACTAAAAGGTTCGACAATAGGAGTCTGGTAAAAACAAACAAGAGGAGGTCTTGACATACATAAATTGAAAATTTTGTTTAATTCATTTGAGAAAACCGTGAATGACTAAATAAATTTAACCATAGTATGCAGATGCTCCCGAGCAAAAACAGATAATTTCATCTATTTCTGATAACTCTTCACCACTAACTTCTGTTTTTCTATAAGGTGCACCTGCAATCACAATATTTATCCATTAATGTATACCGATATTGTGATACTTTCGAAATTGAAATTCAGAGTGTTAGACACGGTACTAATTTGAAAGGCATGGTAGACTTTGAATAAAATTCAAATTCAATTTACAAACTTGAATGAAAATCTGTTGTCTACAAAGCATGGAAGACTATTGGATATCTAAACAAATTAAACAAGAAAATTTATTTTCTGTGAATTAAACTTCAGCAAGAATAACAGCAAAAACAGTGCAGTTGAATATAATTTATGATATACGTGATTTGTTTTGTTGAACTTGCTATATTTTGGAACTTGAGAAAAGATACAGGTCATCAAATTAACAAAATTTTTAAGGAATATTGGATTTGCATGTAATAATATATTTAATTTTATTTTCATTTACTGTGATTGTAAATATTAGTAACAAGCGAATCTCACATAGAGAAACATTATGACCCATTGGATTTCAAACCAGTGATCCCTCCCCCTGCCTAATGGTAGAAGTCATGTTGAGGTTGACAATCTAGAGATACACATAATAGTTTATTTCCTAAGAGTCAAACAAAGACAAGCTGATTGTTTAAGAAGAAGCCAAAAATGACTTGTCAGAAATCTCACATTTTCACCCTCTTAGCCCCAGCCACTGTCCCATGTTCTCACATAGTCTTCAAACTAATCATGCATTTGCATTTCATCTACCTCCTCAATCCCATTGAAGAATTGAGACTGTATATTATGTAAAAGAATACTGCTTTCAACATCACTCCCTCAAATTTTTTAAAAAACAACTTAAATTTATTACATGATTATTCTCATAAAAATATATCAACCAGCCTAAATCTTAAAGTGCAACCCACACTGACATATCTACAATTTAGGGACCTTGGCTCATCTCATTTTAGACAATTGGAGGCTAAAATCTGGGTTCACAAAGGAAACAAGAAGCACAAAATGCAATTCAGTATATGAAGGACTTGAGAAGAGTGACAACCCTCAAATAAATATGCCCATCCCACCACTCAATTGATACTAAAGGTTTTCAATATAATTGTAGTAATTCTATAGCTAGGTCTAATAGAATTATTAATGTTTGTTGAATCGTGTTTAATCTTAGAATTTTAAAATTTTATATTTATAAGAATAATTAATTTTTAATATTATTTTTTATTATTTAAAAATTTAATAATAAAATAGTCTAAAAATTATGTATTATTTTTATACATAGGCATAGGTATAAATTACTCATACAAATACCGTCGCAACATATTTTAAATTCTGTTTTGTTCCTACTAGGAAACACTCTTACATTGATGTTCTCTAACACTTGATCTTCTTTCAAGCTGAAGTGATAACTTCCCGAATCCTTGTCCAGAAAGGGAGGAGGGTTCTTGCAAAAGTACTCGGACGCTTGAGTCAGTATTTGGTATAAAGCAATAAATATTATAGTATTAAATAATCATACCTACCTTTCTGTCTCATCAATATTGTATTTATAGTGACTTATTTGGGCTTGATGAGCCTTTTTGATTAAGAGATTAATAACTTGAGTTTTATACCTTAATTTGGACTGACGTGGACCTCTACTATCTAACCAAAATTAGCGTAATATAACTTTAATAATAGGGATATTCGGCTTATCTTATGGCCGAATACTTTTTCGGGTTATGTATTAGCTGAATTGGTACTCGGCCTTCTGGCCTTCGTGATTGGGTGACTGCTCGGCCTAAGGTGACGTGACTTTGATAGTAACGAGTATCCAGCTTTCCTTGTGGCCGAATACTCTTTCGGGTTGTGCACATTCGATTCCCCAATACACATCCCCTAAGCCCGAGGAGGTATGACCAAGGAGTTTGATAAAGGATTATGAGAAAACGGGGTCCATTGGTACCATCCATTTGTCGCATTGTGGCTGACATGTGAGATGCGTTTACGGAATTTACGAGGGTGCTGGCCGAATGGGGCATTCAGGCTTTATTAATTATTAGTATAGAAAGCAAGTTATTATAACAACATTTGCGTGACATGTTAAAATTTACATGGCATGTTGCAAGTTATAAATATGCATGACATGTTATTGTTTCTATGCATATGCGTGGCATGTTATTGTTTTTATACATATGCGTGCCATGCTTATAATATCAAAGGAAAGTTCTTAATTGTGCATGTGATTGAATGGCCGAATATATCTGGATTCTGTGATAGTAGATAATAACTTTTATTGCATTATATATGTATAGAAACACTCTTACGTTGCCGAAGAGGGTGTTCGACTTTTATTAATTAGTAATTATAATGACAAGTGAAAGGTGTTGCCCGAAGGGGTGAGAAAGCAAATCATTACGATGTCAATTGATACGTGTTGCTTTTATTAATTATTAGTAGGCTAGTACAAGTACCAATGAAAATTCTTACAAGTGATAAATATCTATGGCATGTTAAGATTAGATAAAGTCCTTGCTTGTACTTGGCAAAGAGAAATTTTCTTATTATGCGTGATGTGGTTGCATATTACAACTTGTTCTTACCAGAATCAGGTCGGTCCTTCAAGTCAGATTTATCATCTTTTCTATTTTGGTCTCTCTAGAGATCATGAAAGATTGGTCTTTGAGATTGGTCTTCGAGATTGGTCGCCGAGATTGGTCACCTTCTCCAAGCGTCTTGGATGTACCTGCAAAAAGGACTCCGACGATCAAGTTAGTTGTCTGAGATTGTCCAATGAAATGTATATATTTTTACCTGCTATTGTCTATTTTTACCTGTTATTGTCCGTTTTCCTTCTCTATGTAACCGTCATTATTACCGTTAAATTAACTACTTGATATTGTGATTCAAGCTTGGGCAGGCCGAGTTGGCAGGCCGAGTTGGTTCGAACTCGGTCACCATTTGACCGAGGTTGGTACACAAGCCCCCCAAGCTCTGAGCGATGTTAGAGTGACAGAGGTTAATCAGGAGATGCGTATATTGAAGTTGGCCATAAATTAAGTTTTATTTGGTGTAACACATATTAAGGGACTAATGACAACTTATTTAATATTTTGAATATCAAAAGACATAATGACAACACGTCCTTTCACCTGGTCACTTTTCACTGCAAAACAGATGAAGTTTTTAAAGGTGGCATTTCATTTTTCAATGTAACGATGAACCGAAATTCCCTTTATATTGGCAATCTCAACCCGTGAGATTTTCCAGTTCAGAGGGGTTAACATTAACCCCTTCCGAGGAGGAAGACATATAAAAATTACAATTATTGCCTCGGCTTTTAGAAAGCAAAGCTATCGTAGCACTTTCTAGATCAGAAAATCCTCGAGATGAATTAGAAAGTAAGTAATGGTAAAGTTGTTTAAAGTGAGTAATGTTTTGTTTGATTGATATGCTGATGTGTTACCTTGTCATTCAAAAATCATGGGAAGAAGTAAGTGGCGTGAACTAAAAGTCAAGTTCAACACTAAGGAGATATAAATTTCCGATGTGGATCGCCCTTCTCGTAAGGGGAAGAAACAAAAAACCAACGACCCAGTTGAGGCTGGCAAACGAGAATCTGACAAACGAGTTGTGGGATCAAGTTGCCAAGGTAATCTCGGCCAAGAAAAGGTAAGTTATAACATCTATGATTTTTGAATATTGTCTAAGTTTGCAAAAGGATATAAATTCTAACTTATTATCAAGTTTACAAGAGTC